CATTGTTAGATGCCCTACTGGGCATTCAGGGAAGCCGCCAGGGAGAGTGACACCGAGCTGAGACCTACAGAGGGTGAGTGTGTGCAGGGAGGGATTCCAAAGAATGACAACATGCACACAGGCGCGGGTGTGATCGCGCAGGGGTTTGGAGCCCTGGCCGCACATAGGAACCCCTGGGAATCGTTTATAAATTGTGGTGTCTGGGCAGCGCCCTCTGAGATGATGGGGCAGGCCTGGACAGCTGCTGTTTTACAGTTTCCCAGTGAGTCTGCTGTGCAGCCAGGATTGAAGACCTTAGAGAGCCTGGCTGATTCAGGGAAAGAAAAGCAGACTCGTCCTGACTCAGTACCTGCTCAGCTTGATGACCCAATGCAGACATCACCTCCTCTGGGAAGCCTTCCATGCTCTTTCCACAGCACTCAGTACATATCTCATTCACAGTCCTTGGTGGGTGTATTATAACCATCTAATGAATAGTTACAACTAGTCCATAGCCTCTTCCAGAACTCTATGTTATGTATCTTTGACTCCCCGAAGCTCGACACACCGCCCAGCACATAATGGGCACTCAGCGAACCAAGGGCAAGAAGGAAAGAGGCAGTGCACAGGAGAGTGGCTTGAGCCCAGCAGACCAGGGTGGCCAGAGAGGCAGCTGCTCGGTGCCAAGCGTTTTCCAGGGCGTTTCACCTGAGAGAGTGAGCCGAGATCACATCCTCATTAGCGTGAAGGGCCTGTCTTTGGTCTTTCTGGGCAAGCTCCTCCAAGCCCATCCTCATAATTGCACAGCCTAGGGATCCGGGAACATACAGAGTCCTCCTGTGGCTTAATTAGAAGCTTTCTGTACTTATCTGGAGCTGTGTCTGTTATCAACTGGGGAAAAATATAATTCTCCCAAAGGTACGTTTAATCAATAGATTTTCTTTTTTTTTGTTTCCTTCACACTGGCAGCTGAACCCAGAATGTGCGCTGAGCTTGCAGGTGCCACCTTGGTGGAGCAGAAATACTGTGGGGGACAGAATAAGATGCCCAGGAAGGGAGTCTGAGTTATTGAGGCATGGGCCACGTCTCATTCATGCAGAGGCACTTACTTATTCAACAACGAGTTATGAAATTCCCAGTCTCTACCAGGAGGTGTTGTGCTAGCTCTGGGGAATACTGAGAAGACTAAAGCTTGAAATGCAGACAAGAGAGAGACATAGGAAGTAAAACAGCACTGCATCATGAGAGGATCTCTGAGTGAGATCTGAGCAAGGTCAATGGGACTCCAAAGAGAGGAAGTAGTACACTTGGAGCATAATGTTGTTCTTGTTAGTTGCCATCTAGTCAGCTCTGATTCACAGCAACCTCGTGTACAACAGAACAAGATGTCACCCAATCTTGTGCCATTTTTATGATCATTGGCATGCTCAACTCCATTGTTGCTGCCCTGTGTATTCTGAGTGCCTTTCAACTAGGGGGTTCATCTTCCAGCACTATAGCAGACAATTTTCTGTTGTGATCCATACTGTTTTCATTGGCTGATTTTCAGAAGTAGATCTCCAGACCTTTCTTCCTAGTCAGTCTTAGTCTGGAAGCTCTGCTGAAACCTGTCCACCATGGCTGACCCTGCTGGTATTTGAAATACCCTTGACCTAGCTTCCAGAATCGTAGCAACACACAAGCCACCAGAGCATGACAAACTGACAGATGGGTGGTGGACTTGTCAAATGGTTGCTACTGTTGTTGGTAGGCGCCAGTGAGTTGGTTCCAACTCATAGTGACCCTGGGTACAACAGAACGAAGTACCACCCAGTCCTGCGCCATCCTCACAATTGTTGCTATGTTTGAGCTCATTGTTGCAGCCACTGTGTCAGTCCATCTTGTTGAGGCTCTTCCTCTTTTTCACTGACCCTCTACACTACCGAGCATGATGTGCTTCTGCAGGGACTGGTCCCTCCTGATAACATGTCCAAAGTATGTGATACAAAGTCTTGTCATCCATGCATCTAAGGAGCATTTTGGCTGTACTTCTTCCAAGACAGATTTGTTTGTTCTTCTGGAAGTCCATGGTATATTCAATATTCTTCACCAACACCATAATTCTTCTTCGGTCTTCCTTATTCATTGTCCAGCTTTCACATGCATTTGAGGCAATTGAAAATATCGTGGATTGGGTCAGGTGCACCTTGGCCCTCAAAGTGACATCTTCCCATTTGAACACTTCAAAGAGTTCTTTTGCAGCAGATTTGCCTGATGAAATACATCATTTGATTTCTTGACTGCTGCATCCATGGGCATTGATAGTGAATTCAAGTAAAATGAAATCCATGTCAACTTCAATATTTTCTGCATTTATCATGATGTTGCTCGTTGGTCCAGTTATGAGGATTTTTGTTTTCTTTATGTTGAGGTGTAATCCATACCGAAGGCTGTGGTCATTGATCTTCATCAGTAAGTGCTTCAAGTCCTCTTCACTTTCAGCATGCAAGGTTGTGTCATCTGCATATGACAGGTTAATGAGTCTCCCTCCAATCCTGATGCCATGTTCTTCACATAGTCCAGCTTCTCAGATTATTTGCTCAGCATACAGACTGAATAAGTATGGTGAAAGTATACAACTTTGATGTATAACTTTCATGATTTTAAACCACAAAGCATCCCCTTTGTCTGTCTGAATGACTGCCTCTTGATCTATGTACAGGTTCCTCATGAGCACAATTAAGTGTTCTGGAATTCCGATTCTTCACGATGTTATCCATAATTTGTTATGATCCACACAGTCGAATGCCTTTACATAGTCAGTAAAACACAGGTAAACATCTTTCTGGTATTCAGCCAAGATCCATCTGACATCAGCAATGATATACCTTGTTCCATGTTCTCTTCTGAATCCCGCTTGAACTTCTGGCAGCTCCATGTTGATGTACTGCTGCAACTGATTTTGAATTATCTTCAGCAAAATTTTACTTGTGTTTGATATTAATGATATTGTTTGATAATTGGCACATTCCGTTGGATCACCTTTCTTTGGAATGGGTACAGGTAGCTATCTTCCAAATTTCTTGGCATAGACAAGTGAGCACTTACAGCGTTGCATCCATTTGTTGAAACATCTTAATTGGTATTCCATAAATTCCTGGAACCCCATGTTTTTCACAAATGCCTTCAGTGCAGCTTGGACTTCTTCCTACAATACCACCTGTTCTTGATCTTATGATACCTTCTGAAATGGTTGAATGTTGACCAATTCTTTTTGGTACAGTGACTCTGTGTATTCCTTCCATCTTTTGTTGCTTCCTTTGTCGTTCAATATTTTCCCCATAGAATCCCTCAGTATTGCAACTCAAGGCTTGAATTCTTTCCTCAGTTCTTTCAGCTTGAGAAATGCTGAACGTGTTCTTCCCTTTTGGTTTTCTAGCTCCAGGTCTTTGCACATGTCATTATAATACTTTAGTTTGTCTTCTCGAGCCACGCTTTGAAATCTGCTATTCAGCTCTTTTACTTCATCATTTCTTCCATTCGCTTTAACTACTCTGTGTTCAAGAGCAAGTTTCAGAGTCTCTTCTGACATCCATTTTGGTCTTTTCTTTCTTTTCTGTCTTTTTATTGACCTCTTGATTTCTTCATGTATGATGTCCTTGATGTCATTCCACAACTTGTCTGGTCTTCAGTCATTAGTGTTTAATGCATCAAATCTGTGCCTGAGATGGTCTCTAAATTCAGGTGGAATATACTCGAGGTTGTATTTTGATTCTTGTGGACTTATTGTAATTTTCTTCAGCTTCAGCTTGAACTTGCATATGAGCAATTGATGTTTATTCTACAGTTGGCCCCTGGACTTGTTCTGACTGATGATATTGAGCTTCTCCATCTTCTCTTTCCACAGATGTCGTCAATTTGATTCCTGTGTATTCCATCTGTTGCCGTTTATGTTGTGGAAAAATAGTATTTGCTATGAAGATGTCCTTGATCTTCTAAATCCTATCATGCCATTTCCAGCATCATTTCTTTCAAGACCATATTTTCCAACTACTGATCCCTCCTCTTTGTTTCCAACTTTCGCATTCCAATCACCATTATTATCAATGCATCTTGATTGCATGTTTGATCAATTTCAGAGTGCGTAAGTTAGTAAAAATCTTCAATTTCTTCATCTTTGGCCTTAGTGGTTGATGAGTACATTTGAATAATAGTCGTGTTAACTGGTCTTCTTTGTAGGTATATGGGTATTATCCTATCACTGACAGTATTGTACTTCAGTATGGATCTTGAAATGTTCTTTTTGATGATGAATGTGACACCATTCCTCTTCAATTTTTCATTCCTGGCATAGTAGGCCAAATAGTAGATACTAATCAATGGAAACTATAATGGTTGCAAAGCACTGAGTTCAGAATCCAGTGGAAGATAAGGTGGGGTCTAGTGTAAGAACCTGCTGTACTCTTTCGAGTACAGTGTTGGTGGAGGATGTGAGTGGTTGGTTTCCAGCTAGAGGCAACAGGGAAGATGCCCTGAACTACGGTCCCTGGAGCTGGGCACTGAAACGTGGATGATTGAGATTGGTGGTGATAGGGTTAGAGAGTTTACAAAGAGAAATTGAAAAGGAGTCAGTGTAAACAAAGGCAGAGAGAAAAGATCAAAGGCACAAGATACGTGTGGAAATCCAGGAATAAGTTGTATCTAAAAGATACATATAGGTAAAACGAAATGGAAAAGTTAGATTAGTGCTACATAATGGGTGGGTGATTTTGTACACAAGACAAAGGGCTTTGGCATGTTATTTTGCAGACACTAAGAAACGACTTAAATATTTTATTGTTGTCATTCTTGTTTAAAGTCCCAGCTTAAGAGTGATATGTAACATGATCCCATAGGGCTCTGGGGCATAATATAATGTCACAGGTTTACCAAGAAAGGAGAGTGATTAATGAGAAACAGAGAAGTCAGCAAAGATTTCAGGAAGAAGGCTACCATAGGTTAATGGACTACAGGGCATTGACCTCCACTTTTTGCCTCTCCAGATGCTGAACAATCCAGAGAGAATAGCTGAGCAGATAAGTAAGGATCTCTCCTGGCTTGCCTCCCACCTGATGGCTCTTTGGACCCAATTCCTGGACACAGTGACTCTACACTCCCAAGTTACCACTTATCTCACCCAGGAACATCACACCTTGAGGGTAAGATGTCACCTGGCATAAATGCTCTAATCATGTGTCAGTGGTCTCTCAAGGAAGTTTTACGAGAGGCAGTTTATGAAGCAGAATAAGAATTGGTATCGACCTCTAGATCTGTGTGCTGGTCCTGGTTCCACCGTGAACTTGCCCTGTGACTTTGTTAACTTCATTAACCTACTGAGCCTCTGCTCTCATCTGTAAGACACTTTCCCAGACTATCTCAGGTGATAGCAGGATCTGTCACAAAGGGTATTACAAGTCCTTTGAAAAGACTTTTTTTAAAGTGTTATCAAATATAAGACACTGTTCTTATGTATTTCTTTTCCACCAGCTTGGGTGCATGTGAGTAGATATCAATGTCAGAAGTATTAAAGCATAATAAAAGATACTGGTCTTCTCATTTAGAGCAAGAGGATAAAATATCTGAGGATCAGAGCCACAGAGCGCCTGACAAACTTACCTACATGACTGGCTTTGCAAATTCAGTTTCGTCTGCATTTATGTATGGTCCCTGTGTGCAAGGGGAGTCCCTGGTGGTGCAAACGGTTAACATACTTGGCTGCTAACCAAAAGGCTGGCGGTTTGAGTCCACCCAGAGGTGCGTCAGAAGAATGGTCTGGCAGTCTACTTCCAAAAGATGAGCCACTGAAAACCCTATGGAGCACTGTTCTATTCTGACATGCATGGGTTGCCAGGAGTCAGAGCTGACTTAATGGCAACTGATTGTGTGTGTGTGTGCGTGTGTGTTCCTGCAAGGGGCTTATCTTCTAGTAGAATAAATACGAACTAAACATAAACATGATAGGAAGCTGTAAGACCTGACTCATTAGCATCCATTAAAGCGCTCCTATGACCCAGGTTTGGGCTCAGAGTGTGGATGAGAAAGTGAAGCTATAGAAGTTAGAAGACCCTGGTACAGAAACCCGGGCTTGTGGGCACACGTGTCCTCCTATTAGTACATGCCCTTACCTCCTTGAGCCTCAATTTTCTTTTAAAAAGCGGCGAGAATACCCCCCTAAAGGCTTACGCTGTCCTCATTGTCTTGTTCCCCAGGTCCGAAGGTTTTCCGAGGCCTTCTTTTACACGGAGCACCAGAAACTCGCAGTCCTGACCTTCCAGGAAAATCTGTACGTATCCGTTGTATTCCCACTTCACCCCTAGAAGTAGCTGCCTGAGACATTCTTGGTCAGTTACTTTTTTTAAAAAGTGTTTTTATTTTTGT